TTATTAATATATAACTAATATAACTAGCCTACAAACTAATATTCTCAAACATAAATACAAGGGACAAACCTCTTGTATTTATACACTTACACCTTCGGTTAAACTTGCCATTATTCATTTATCATGGCGGCTAACTTTCCAGTTTTAGATTACTTAAGATGCCTTATCATGATAAGACTCTTATCTCTTATCACTCAATCCTTATTGGCCTCGGCATCTTATCTCAACCCTAAGATACCTTATCATGATAAGATTCTTATCTCTTATCCCTCGATCATGATTGGCTTCGGCATCTTATCTCAACATTTGTCTCTGTATTTATGACTGAGAGTAATAATCCGTATGTTAGTTATATTAGTTATATATATAAATAAGCAACAAAAATAAGAAAAAGTGAACATATACAATGGATATTCATAACAGAATAGCTGTTGAGATAAGATGCCGAAGTCAATATCAATAAATTAGAGAAAGAGGCTTATTAAAGACAAGGCATTAGAAAAGAGCCTTGTAATGACAAGGCATCAAGTAATCTAAAACTGGAAAGATTAGCCGACGTCATGAGTGTATAAATAGGAGAGGTTTTGTCTCCTATCTGTGTTTAGAATCATTAGTTATTAAGAGTTGTATAAGTTGTTTTTAACTAAGTAACAAACATAAGAAAAAGTGTACATATACAATGGATATTCATAATAGAATAGCTAGACTTCAACAATAGCTAGACTTCAACATTGAATACTGTGTCGTCAAAAGTGTTGTTAAAGTTGTCATACCACCAAAAATAGATATTCAATCAAAGATAAACAGATTTTAACTGGATAAGATGTGTTTTAGTTTATTTATCCTCGCTATTATTATATCTATGATATGATGTGTTTTTCTTGTTCAATACATATACTATATATATGTTGAGAAAGAATGCCAAGATTGATAAGAACTCATAAGATGAGATTGCAACATAAGAATTAGATTCCTTCACAATCATGGCATGTCCTCTGCTACGGTTTTAGGAAGTTTATGTGTAAACATGTAAACCTAGAAAGTATATGTATCTAAATGGAGTTACTTCTGAAGGATAAAACCAGAAAATGTTCATCAATACTAATCTATTCTCATTTGTGACTCATAAAAGGTAGCGCCTACTTAAATTGAAGTTTAAGCTAAAAACTTAGTTTACTGTTTTCTCTAATAGAATTGAATAACACTTTCAAACATACTGATGCATAACTGCTAGGAGATAAAAAGCACCAAAAACAAATACTCTTATACTCGAAAAAATTATTTCTAGCAAGATCTTCTGCCAGTTTGAACTGATTTTAAGTGTCAAAACTGGTATTCCTGTTTTCTCAAGAGTTGCAAATTCTTGAAGAATCTCCAAGAATCTCCATCTACGTGAAAAACTGCTAAAAACTGTTGCAATCTGTTTATTCTTGATGTAATATCCATTATTAATAGTGTCTCTTCTATTATGCTTGTTGCTTATTTATATATAACTAATATAACTAACCTACAAACTAACATTCCCAAACATAAATACAAGGGACAAACCTCTTGAATTTATAAACTTATAACTTCGGCTAGACCTTCCATACTACATTCATCGGCGGCTAGATTTCCATTATACATGTATCACGGCGCTAAACTTTCTTGTTTAGATTAATCAGATGCCTTGTCATAATAAGATTCTTATATGTGATCTCTTGATCCTTATTGGCTTTAGCATCATATTTCAACAAAAACAACCACATCATTCACATTGTAATTGTAATGGTGATGGTCAACTAGTTTCTTATGGTATATCATGAAAACCAATATTTTGCTTTTGTCATAAAGGATTGGTCTTTCTCTTAATTTCCTGACCAACACTGTAAACTGTGAGGTCATTAAAATAGTTTGATTGTTTTGATTAACCGCTAATAACTCCCTTTTGCTTAAAAACTAAAGCTTTTTGATGAGATAGTGAAAAGTTGTCATATTCAAAAATGGAGAATTTTTAGCATTATATAAAACATTGAATCAGATCTAGGGATTAGGTTGAAAGCTGCTCTTACCACTCATAAAATTCTTTCTGATCAACCTTGTGCGGGCTATAAAGAAGTTTTGTAAGAGGTACATCAAGTCTTTTTCAAAAGTAAACCAATTTTACTCCTAACACGCTTAGCAGGCTATGCAACGGTATTATATTGGGATTTTGGGGTATGATGCTTTGTCTTTTAATGGGTTGAAACTATCTGATATTGTTTTACTTCGTTTACTTTTGTTACCACTTCATTGACTAAGCTTGAAAGCCCACCAGCAGGGAAAAAAACTTTACAACAATTTGTATCACTAAGTGGTGATGACAAAAACTCCTTTGTGTGAAACTTTGAGTACATGATTGACAGATCCGTCTACAACAATTATTTGAATCTGGATATTTTGGACAGCCTATTATAATAAAATCAATCGAACAGTGAAATGAATTTTCCTTCATCTTATTTGGACTAGTTAGTATCTGAAATATTCAATTATGGGTTTTTTCCAGGGCTTTTCCAAACCTGTTTCTGTTCTTGAATCTAAATTATCTGTCTATGCGTTCTCTGCTGTTATTCATTTGTATGAGAAGTGCTCGTAACAAGTCGGTTTCAACGGTTTTTGTCTGAGAGTTGAATAAAGCCTTCAAACTATCT